AGCTTTAAAAAGGCTGTTAAGATGGATCTCTTCTGGCAGGCCTTTTCCTGGCAGGCCTCTCTTTATCTCTTCCTATCCCATTTTTGGCTGCAGTCGCTGCTTTGTTTGTCATTTTTGATTTGTTTTAGTGAGTTGAGTTTATTTATATGTTTTAATTAAGCTGTTTTAATGAATAAATTAGTTTAATACTTTTTTAAGGGGTGGGTGGGTTTTGAGATTTTTGGATTGTATTTTAATATATTGTAAGGAATCTTAATTGTAAATAATTGCCCCGATTGCTTGACAGAGGGACAGGATACAAATAATAATAATAATAATAATAATAATAATAATAATAATAATAATAATAATAATAATAGCAGTATTAGATGAGTGGCATCTTATTGGGCAACACAGTGCAGTGTGCGGAAGAGACAGACAAGTGCAAATGACTTGTAAGTATGGTTCTCAGAAGCCTCTTTAAGTTTAAGAATTGCATAGAGGAAAGAATTTCTGACAGATAAAACATTTAGCACCCAAGTGACTATAGTGAAAGAAGAATTCACACCTAGTGTCATTTAAGTGATTTTTAGTCCCAGGGTTTCTTCCATTCATAATGGTTTGCAATTCTAGTGGTTGTAGTTTTTAACTGAGCCTTGTATACCAAATAAGGAAATTGCAAATATCAGTGGTGTCATTACATTCTGGCCTAATATAGTGAATCTAGAGGTGGCGCTGGGGTCAAGATGGAAAAATTCTCTTGGCTCTGATGTTTACTGACTTCAGGCCTGGATATTGGGCACTTGTGAAAAAGCAGTTTTACAGGTTAGACCACTTAACCAAGATGATTGGCCTAAAGGGAGAAAAGCACTGCAAACAATTAAAAGGTTATCTGAGATGGCTTGCTTGTCTTTATTTTCATGTCAGCATCCCATTACGGCTGAGCAGAATTCAAGAAACTGAATATTACCCATCAAAGTACATAATAAAGCCTGAGAAACTCTGGAAAAGAAATATCTATGGAAATTTTAATTAGGTCCAACAGAGGTTTTTAATAAGTCCAGTTTGGGGCACTAAGGGGGGAAGCAGACGAGGGCGTCCGGCAACCTCAGGAGGAGGAAGGGGCGCCGATCGTGCAGCTGCCCCTCCTCTTCCTTGCCTCAGAGACAACTCTATTAGTCGTCTGCCGAGGCCCAAAGTGATCAGGTCAAGAACATTTTTTTAAAGTATGTTTTACAGACTCATGTTGTTGTTGTGTGCCTTCAAGTCATTTCTGACTTATGCTGACCCTGTCACATGGTTTTCTGGGGCTACGAGTGTATGACTTGCCTAAGGTCTCCCAGTAGGTTTCCAAGGCTGAGCAGGAAATCAAACCTTGTTCTCCTGAGTCCTTAATGAATGCTCAAAGCACTATACCATGCTGACCCTCTTTATGCACACCTTTTCTCTTGTTGAATTAAATCAGGAACAGGGAACCTCAGTGAATCCCACTTGTTACATGTCTTCAAATCAATTCTGACCTTTGGCAATCCTATCATAGGTTTTATTGGCCATATTTATTCAGGGAATTTTGTCAGTTGTCTTCTCTTGAGACTGAAAGAATGTGAATTGCCCAAGGTCACCCATTGAGTTTCCATTGTTGAGTGGGGATTTAAGCCATAAACTCTTAGTGGTGCTAGTTCAGTGGTCCCAAAACTTTTTGGGTTGCCACCCCATTTCCTCTTGGGAAACAACCCTAGTGCACACACATTGTGTGTATTTCTTCATATTAGGTCTACCATCGTACTGCAAATTCAAAACAACCAATCTTGATCACTGCTCCCTTTGTAACCAGTCACCTTGTGAGCAGCAACCAAGAAGATTCTTGCTTGTGCTGGTCTTGCAGTGTTTTAAGGGACTCTGAAAAGAAGTTTCATGCAACTTTCATCCCCGCCAAGGTCCTAATGGCCACTGTTTCCCCTTGTCTTTCCTGTGCACCAGTACTTTGACTGAAGCCCCCC